AGCGAAACACAACACAATTATGAGAAAACATTATATTCGTGCAATCCAATGGACACCCAACATACCATCAACAACTCAAATACGGAATGACTGCCTCTTGTCAGGCCATTCAAGGTCGTTGGAACGAAACGGCGAGCAGCTTTGGAAGGCTCTGTGTAACGGAGTTGAAATTGCTATGTATGATATACTAATGCATTCTATTTTCTTTCTATTGCAGGGCGACCAAACATAAATTCTTTAGAGGAAGAAGAGCAAGCCCCATGTACACTAAGCTTACAGGATGACTCATAAGACTACTTTGTAAACTGACTCTTCCCGCTGTACTCTCGCGCACCGCGCTTTTTGGTTTTGAAATAAGGAGGCTCGTGATTCCCACTGTGTTCTCTCTTGGTGTGAAGTCCTCGTTTAACATTGTGTGCTGTGCTGTTTTTCAAATCTGTCCTGCTGTTCTCTAACTGCTGATTCCACGTGTTAAAACTGGTGATGGAGGTGTTCACTGAAAAACGCGATGAAAAACTGAACGAACCGCCTGTGATTCAAGTCAAGCCAGCAACTGGCTCAGCTCCTCGTCAACCGCCACTCCTGGAAAACTCTTCAGACTATACAGCGTGGAAGTTTAAAGTCACAGCCTATCTTCGAAAAAGTTCCAGCTTCGGGACATTTCGATTATCTTGTGTCCTACCGCAGCGACGAAGCTACCAAGAGAGCTATAGTCAACGGGTTTGCGGCGAACAACACTCTTGCTCAGAACTGGAAGATCCTCGACGATTGTTTTTCGACGCCGTTGGATCCCCAGCAAGCAGCCATCCGATTTTTGTCGCGACATCAAGCACCCAGCGAGAATTCAATAGATTATTTTAATTCCTTGCAACAGATGGCTGTGCAGGCGTTCCCCCGTCTTGATGCCACTGGACGAGATGAACTGATTAAGTCTCGGTTCGTCGAAGGGTTAATTTCCAGTTCCTTAAAGGAGCACTTCCTACTCAACCCGCCAGCAGATATAAATGACCTAAAAAGAACAACATTCCGGTTCGTGGCAGCTGAAAAGCTAAAAAGCCCAATAGACATGCACCAACCGACGGTGATGGCAGTAACACAACCCACAAAAGCTAGCCGCCCAACGAACCCTCAACACATTTCAGACGTTACCCAGTTTTCCCACTGGAACAACAGTCGAAGACAATCCAGTCCCGCTGAGAAGAATTGGAGATCAAAGAATAGTTATCACGGTCGCCAATCCGAATGCCCGTACTGCCGACGATTTGGCAAAAATGCAAGGAAATGTGCCCATAATCGTTCTGGTAACACAAGGAAGCCGTACATTTTCCATTTATCTTCTTATGTTAACCATGTGCGCTCCATCACGATTAAGGGTAGATTACAGGGTATAGATATCGAAATTTTATTAAACGCCGGAGCGTCAGCATACCTAATTAAGGACGAGCTTTTAGGAAGGCCCAACCATAAAGTCCAACAAACGCGATACCCATCCACATTACTCACAGCTAGCGGAGACCCATTGAAAGTGAACTCTAAGGTATGGTTGGACCTAACGATAGATAAACATCTGTTCCGTCATGGAATTTTAGTTTGTCCGACATTGACTTAGGATATGATACTCGGAGTCGATTTCATGTTAGAACATAAAGCTGGTATATTCATGGACAGCTTGGAAGCAAAATTTGGAGAGACTAGAATACGCCTGCACCATACTGACACGTAATTTAAAGCTGTGTCATATGTGGGGATCTCGGACTTGGTGCGGCAAGTAAACGGCAACCGAATACTAACAGAGAAAGATCGACATGCAACGACTGCCGTGATTTAACAGTTTAGTTCGGTATTCGAGGAGAGTATTTCTGGCAATCGAACGAGTACGGTGCAACACACAATTTGCACGGGGGACCACAGGCCACTTAGGCAACCGCCTCGTAGAGTGCCAGTACATTATCAACCACAACTGGATACGATGATAAAGGATATGCTTGACAAGAATATTGTAGTACCGTCATCATCCCCCTGGGCATCACCTATCGTCCTGGTAAAAAAGAAAGATTCTTCTCTGTGACTCTGCATAGACTATCGACGCCTTAACGCTATAACTAAGCGTGACTCTTTTCCTTTTCCGAGAACCGATGCTATATTAAACGCCTTGAGTGGCGCATGTTGGTTTTCAACGTTAGATCTAGCATCAGGGTACTGGCAAGTGGAAGTCAGACCACAAGATAGAAAGAAATCCGCATTTGTAGTGCCAAAAGGTTTATACGAATTCCAAGTAATGCCTTTCGGTCTAACGAATGTCCCAGCTACTTTCCAAAAATTAATGCAAACAGTTTTACAAGATATAGTACCTCATAAATGTTTGATTTATCTTGATGACATTATTGTGTATGGTAGCACACCTGAGCAACATAATGCTAATCTGAAAGCAGTTCTCCATCGCCTTCAACAACAACTTAAAACTAAAACCGTCCAAATGTCGCCTGCTGCAGAGAGAAGTAGTTTTCTTAGGACATCGTATCACTGCAGACGGAGTAGGCACCGATAAAGTAAAGACACGTGTCATTGTTAATTGGCCACAGCCCAAACCACCTGAAGACGTTCGTAGCTTTATTGGCCTAGCTTCTTACTACAGACGCTTTGTCCGCGACTTTGCATCGTTAGCAGCACCCTTACACCGTTTGACGCACAAAGGACGAAAAGTTTTATGGACTGCGGAGTGTCAACAGGCGTTCGATGCTTTGAAGACACGACTAGGCTCTCCACCCATATTAGCCGTTCCGGATATCTCAGCAAGCGGGGGAGAATTTATACTTGATGCGGATGCCAGCTCCTTGGCTATTGGAGCAGTTCTATCACAAGTGGCCCCAGATGGGCAAGAAAGAGTCATTGCGTACGCTAGCCGTCGACTGGATAAGAGCGAAACAAGATATTCGACAACGCGTCGAGAGATGTTATCATTAGCAAAATTCTTACAACACTTCCGCCATTATTTACTAAGTAAACCTTTCCGTGTACGCACAGACCACCGTGCATTACAATGGTTCCTCTCCTTCCGCGAACCAGAGGGGCAAGTAGCACGCTGGCAAGAACGACTACAAGAGTTCGATTTCACATGCGAGTACCGACCTGGAAGCCGACATACAAACGCCGACGCTCTTTCCCGCATACCTCAAACCGCAGGTACTGTTAATTCAATTCTTAGCACAGCCCTAGAGATCGATTGGCCTTCCCTGCAAGCAGCAGACCCAGACATGCAGATTATATATCAAAGACAGTTACAGGGAAACAATAAACCATCCATGAAAGAGTTAAAGGATCAATCATTAACAACTCGTCGTATTTGCACTAAATGGAGCAATCTAAAATTATATGGTGACACATTATTCTTAATTAACGAAGCGAGACAACCTCTATTGGTAGTACCACGTATAAAAGTTGAGAGCATTGTGGAGCAGGTGCACCGCGAACTAGGTCATGCAAGAGAACGAAGGACGGAATACGCGGTCCGCCAGCGCTTTTGGTGGCCATCCATGCATGAAGAAGTAGTGAAAATTTGCAAAAATTGTAACACGTGCTGCCGTTTCAAATCTCCTCGACAGACACCTAGTGCACCGTTAACTCCGATGGTAACCACAGGATCACATCAGCGGATCGGCATAGATGTCATGGGTTCATTAACAACATTAAAGAAAGGGAATCGCTACATACTGGTTATGGCAGAATACTTTACTAAATGGTGCGAAGCAGTACCCATTCCCCAGCAAGACGCTCTTACGGTTGCCCGACCTTTCATCGATCATTGGGTTTCCCACTATGGCGCCCCCTTCTCACTTCATTCTGATCAACGTCCAGCCTTTGAAAGTCACCTCATCGCCGAGATATCCCAGCTTTTGGGAATCAGGAAGACACGAACCACTGCGTATCACCCAGAAGGTAACGGGCTGGTAGAAAGAACAAACAGAAGTATTAAAGCCATATTGCAAGCGTTTGTGAGCAGATCGTCGCAGGAGTTATGGGATGATGTCCTTCCTCAGTGTCTTTTAGCATATCGTACATCGGTACATGGCTCCACCGGGTTTTCAGCCGCTATTTTATTATTCGGGCATGAATTACGCCTACCAGTGGAGATACAGACGCCCCTGCTGCCCTGCGAAGAACAAGAGCATGTACCGTACATACGTACTCTCCGTAACCACCTAGCTGATGCATACCGCTTGGTCAACAGCAATTTGCGCAAAGCTAGTGAACATCAAAAGGACTTGTACGATCGTCGGGTGCACGGATCAGTGTATAAGGTCGGTGGTCGCGTTTGGCTACGTCGTCCCATGACATCGTCAGGGAGTTGCAGTAAATTCCACCAGCCCTGGCAAGGCTCCTTTGAAATCGTCCTCGTCCGATCCCCCACTACGTTCGTATTACGTAACTTGCAACGACCCCATGATGACGTGATAACTGTACACTATAACCAAATAAAACCAGATAGGATGACAGTTTCCTCGGATGCCCAGTTCGCCAATCCACCGCCTGCCACCACGTTTTATGAGGTACCATCAGAAGGGGGGGACAGCGTATCCATGTCCGAAACCAGGCACTGAGGATAGTGCCTATTTAAGAGAGGGGGCGGTGTAACGGAGTTGAAATTGCTATGTATGATATACTAATGCATTCTATTTTCTTTCTATTGCAGGGCGACCAAACATAAATTCTTTAGAGGAAGAAGAGCAAGCCCCATGTACACTAAGCTTACAGGATGACTCATAAGACTACTTTGTAAACTGACTCTTCCCGCTGTACTCTCGCGCACCGCGCTTTTTGGTTTTGAAATAAGGAGGCTCGTGATTCCCACTGTGTTCTCTCTTGGTGTGAAGTCCTCGTTTAACATTGTGTGCTGTGCTGTTTTTCAAATCTGTCCTGCTGTTCTCTAACTGCTGATTCCACGTGTTACATCTGACTTTTTACCGTGCATTTTTGGCGAGATTGACTGTTTTACCTTTCCGATGAAGCAAGTTGCAGTTTTGGGCGGCGGTGCCTGGAGCACAGCTATTGCTAAGGTTATCGCCGATAACGTCTCGTCTTCAAATGAGTTTTGTAGTAGGGTGAGTTTGTCAAAATATTCCGATATTCAAATGGCTTTTAGATTGCCATGTATGTATATGATGAAACTCATAATGACCGAAATTTAGTTGATTATATCAATAAAGATCATATAAATCCAGTATATTTGTCAAGCATTACCATTCCTAATAATGTCATTGCAAACAGTAATATCGCAGAAGTTGTTTCAGATGCTGATATCATAGTAGTTGCTTATCCATCTCGATATGTACAGTGGCTAATAAGACAAATAAAAGGACATGTCAAAGAAAATGCCTACTTCGTCTCGTTCTGTAAAGTAAGTCCCGGGCAATGTTATTGTATTCTTGCTTGGTTCACGATCTCAATGTTATGCTTTATGTTTAGGCTATAATGAAGCATAAAAGTATTATACTGATACTTAGCCTTTTCGTGCCACTTTATCTAGCATTTGGGTGCTCCAGTGTTCACATCAGCTGGGTGATATGTACACCGATTCAAATATCTAAAAATCGTTAAAATAGTTCAGATCGTACGATGAACCAAAGATTGCTTACTAACTAGGAACCCTGAGACCTTTTGATTTCCTAGGACTATTCAATTCCATCTAAACCTCCTGATAGGCTATCTTTTGTGCATTTCCATTACTTGCTGTATAAATTTTTATTTATATTGAATCCGAAGCACTAGTTATACTTAATATCTTTCAGGCCAAAAAGACGTATCGGTACGCTTTACTAGTATACCGTCAAGTTTATTATACATTACGAATCTTGGCTTCGCTAAGTGTCATTAAATTGTTCGAGATTTCGGGTCTTTTTAAAATTGTTTTTTTTGACAGTGTATATTGCTCCATGATAAAAGATATTGTCTTACAGGCTGACCTATTGCTGTTCAAAATCCCTGGAGATTTTTAAGCGTTTCGCTGATCTGAGAATTCCTGTGTGTCTGTAAAAGTAACCATTGCTGATGACCAAAAGTCTTCAAAAATACGCTCTCCAACAGAAGGATTTTAAAATATATACATATACTTATTTGATCAGAAAAAATAACTGAGGACTAATATTCCAAAGTCTTAGTGTGAAACATATTACTTTCAAAGTATTTTTTATTCAAAATCAGTATCAGTACTTTGCTGCTAAAGCTTTTCGCTATGAAAGCAATAAAGTACTGTTGAACGAATACGACCTCCGTGCAAACATTGATGGTATAGCCGAAAGTGTGCATTTCTAATCTCATAGTACAACTGGGCGCGACTATACTTTATGGACGACCTTTGTACGAATCTTAAATGACGTTGAGCAATATTAGCCAATAAAAAGGCAGTTAGTATACAGTAAAAATATATTATACAAAACTAAAAAATACAAGCGGATACTGTTTTTTTACATGGCTCAAAAACTTCTCAAGGTCAGATATAGGTTCAGAAGTTCTAAAATCATAGTGCATACGGTACAGGAACTCATCGATATGGCTCCATAGTAGTCGGCATCTGGAGCCATGATAATATCTCAAAAATTCTCTTAGCCTCGACCACATAGCTTCAATGTTGTTGGCATGGTTTAGGGTTAGGGTCTTAACCTTAATCGTGATCGAGCGTGAATAGTCGTTTGAGTACCACAGTCACAAGTATAGGAGCTTCCTAATAATCCCTTCTCTTGTAGATGCTGAATTATCACGTCTTCTCTAAAATCCGCTGTAAACCGATCGTACGTAAGCATCAGGTACCGAACTTAGCGCCGTGACCTTGAAAACCCGCGAAAGCTTCTGATTGGCCGGTCCATAAAGTTTAGTCTCGCCGATATTTCCCTGATAAATAATAAGTGTTTGACCATTAGTGTCATTGAAACATCTTTAATGCCGATAATGTTTAGAATTCAAACGATAGGGCCAAAACTTTAACATCACGGTCCAATGAATTCACCGTTAGACAGTATTTTATTCAATTACCCATTTTTTGTTTATTAATTTTTGATATGGAAGACTAGTACTTTCTGTTTCAAATTTATACCACAAAAATAAACACTAGCTAAGAACAAGTTGTTGTTATTCAACGTTTCATATTTTTTGTCTCTTGACAATTAATTGATCACAGTAGTAATCGGTGTCATGTTTCTGTAGTTGTTCAGTGCTGTTCGGATCCTATCTATTAAGTTGCATGTGACTCCTAGTCTAAGTGAATCGACGTCTCATACGCTCAGCTGAAATGCCTTATTGAAGAGTAACAACTAGTACAAACCCAGATCCAGGATTTCCTACCTACTAACTCCAGCCATGTAATTACATGACTGGAGTTAGTAGATGAGATGTTAACATCTCATTATGGTGCATAAGATATCAAGTCACCTAGACTAGTGACGACATGCAAATTAATCGATGAAATTCTATCATCACTGAACGATCAGCGAAACATGACATTGATCACCAATCACTAACCAACCAGTTGTAAATATTTTAGTCCTACGCAAGCGTAATTTTCGGAACGATTAGTTCAGTCGCGATATCTCAGACTGTGAAACTGGTTGATGTTAGTTCAAATTTCTCTGGATGACGCATCAATTCCATCTAGATTGCAAGCACATCTTACTAACTAGTGCCAACTAGTATGAAATCTAGGTTCAGGGTTTCCTACTCAAACTTCAAACACCTAACATTCGTCTACCGAACTTTATGGCTTTTGAGAATATTGTTATTAGATCATTAGTTATAAGAGTAGTTAATTGTGTCTTTATTGTTAATTCGGCTGAACTGAAATAATTATTTTTGGTAAATGAACTTTCATTAATCATAGGTTGAATATGTTAATATTTTAGTTCAATGGCTAGTTAAACTCACATTGTAAATAGTTTTTTGCTCACAGCTAATTGATTTAGATTACAGCTTATAGCTTCTCATAATACTTCTATAAATCCACTGTCCATGTAGTGCAAAACGGTAAAATGCAAAGGCTGCTCCCAAAACAACACCTCGTATGACTAATGAACATAAATCCTTAACTTTCCTCTCATAAATATGTTTCTAGTTGTTATTTTAAAGCGGAAAGAATCTGATTGAATGGATTTATTTTGCGATACAATACTGTTTCCCATGAATAACTTTCCTCATAATTCTTCGTTATTTCCTTTTTTTGAAAAAAAAAACAATCGAATGTAGGGTCTTGTTTTGTATTCAGAAGAAAATCGAGTCAAACTAGTGAGTGATATGATTCGTGAGCAAACTGGTAAAAGTTGCGTTGTTGTCAGTGGAGCTACAACAGCCATAGAAATAGCTGAACAACAATTCACCGAAGTAACTATTGGTGCTAAAAATTACGATCATGGAAATGAAGTAAAACGATTGCTTCAGGTATTATGATATTTCACAGAGAAAATTGCTTGGTATCCTAATTTCAATAAGCAGCTTAAGAAGTTCGGTTGATTTTTTGTAGCTTGTGGACTGATTCTACTTTCTATAAGCATTTTATTTAATTATTAATAAGCTAATCCTGCGAGGTGTCGAAGCATGGTGTTTAAAGCTTCGTTTAACTCCTATAAACTGAATTTAAATAATCAACCTATTCAATTTATATCACCACTAAAACCTGGAAGCACTGGAAGGCCGTTTTGTCTTGGCAGGGGACCCCTCAGCAGTGCATATCCACGACCTCATATATGGGAGTCGAACCCAGAACTTTCGGTCTCAGACATGAACACTCAACCTCTGGACTACTGAAGTGGCATCCAAGGTTTTCAACGGTGGTCTTACTAAGATCGTTTCATGATTTCAATTCAATTTGACGGTATCTACAACCCCATACTGACAATAAATTTCGACTAATAAATTCAACTACTGAAATAATTTTTTTTTAACAGTATCGATGTATTAGTGCATAAATATACAAATGAACGTTTTTTTTGTTAGAGAAGAACAAACAACCATACCCACATCAAATGGTTTCATAATTAAATGTACAAGAGTTATTTATCCGTTAATAATTTTACTATTGATAGTTGTGCTGTACAAAGTACAATTAGCCTTTAAAATATTGTAATTATAAATATAGATGATATGAAATTTGACCTACTTTTCTAATGGTCGTATATTTATTATCTACTCAGAACCTACAGTAATCTGTTTGTTGATTGAATGTCATTAGTGAATAAAACATGAAACTTTAGATATATTTCGTTTCATGAGCATTTATGACAAAATGGAACTGTATTTTCTCTCTTTGTTAATCACAATCAGTGCTACTATCGTCACAAACAAAATGGAAGCACTAGATATTTATTTAAACACATAAATATTGGTAAAAGGAAGCACTAGATATATATGCGCCGCACAAATCTCATTTGATTTGTGTGAGGACTGATACTGCCCAGGTGCCCAAACTGAAGCAGGACAAACAAAATGCATACAGTCCCAAAATGCCCTGGTACAGCCGAGGGTGGGGAGAGTCATCTCCCTCTCGAAATGCTCTCACATGGCCACGCGTATACAGCCAATGCCACAGAAGTCCTACTCACTACCTTCTCGCGGAATTACTGTGGTTCACGAAATTGAGAGGACGAAGAGCGAGTGTCCGGAGTTTTAACCAGATTGGTGGACACTGACGGTCCACCTAGGGGAGTTGAAAAACCCTGATTCCAAACCAATGTTATTGATTATAATGACAGGTTTTTCAGTCTTTCTTCATTATGTACAACCCACAGTTCTATATATTTATGTATTTACTTTAGTTATTTTATTTATATATTTATATTTATTTCTAAGTATATTTTATTTATTGCAACCAATCGCTTTATTGTTAAGTAGACTATATAAGCTACTGTTATAATCCATTAATCTGATTCATTCATAATGTGCTCTCCCTAATGCTTATTCAACCGAGTATACAAGTGTGGCAACTAGGAATGCTTTAAAAACTTAAGTCTAAAAACTGAGTCAAGGTGTACATAACATAGGTATATATGTGTATTTTTAATGACTCAGACATGAACATATAGTCAGTGATCTTAGTTAGATGATTAATTCACTCACAATCGTCTTCTCCAGGCTTACATCTGTCACCTACCATATGCCTTGAAACAACACATGACCTATCTGTAATAGCAACGTCAACCACTTCCCCATTTTGAAAGTTTACCCCTTTAGATGCATTAAAAATTTTGGCATATGAGATACATTTAACCTCGATGTTTAAAACATAAATTAATAGAATAGAGTTTGATATTTCATCCAAAAATATTAATCGGCAGTCAAATGGCTAACACTTTTCGTAAAACAATGAATTAATCTACTCATTTTGTTTATAAAACGACCTCAAGACTTTAAAATGTTTTTTTATCATTTTGTCAATCAAATGATTGAATTGCGTCGATATTCTTCGAGTCTCGCATGCGGGATCGTGGATTCGCGTCACTGAGGAGTGGTCCCATACTAGGACAAAACGGCTGTCCAGTCCTTCCAGGTATTCAATGGTAGTCTAACACTGATCGGTTCATGATTTCAATGAAATTCAATAATCTCCACAACTGCATACTGAAAATTATCATGTGTTCACAAATGATTACCTTCGAGAGGTAACTCTCAGAGTTCTACTGAGAAGTCGTGACCAATGGAGTTCAGCCGTGTCGAGCGTGAAGCAGTTACCCGCCTAAGACAGTGGAGGATGGTCGCGAGATATCATGGATCGGTTGAAGTTAGACATTAACACTGTTGGTTGTCGGCTCGGTGGTCTAGAGGTTAAGCGTTCACGCAAAATCGAAGGTCTTGGGTTCAAGCCTCGGATGCAAAGTTGTGGATGATCATTGTTGACCATCCAATCACATTAATATTCCTCTTATTGGAAAGTCCCAATATTTCTAAATCTTATTTTATAAAGGAAACCTCCGTTTTCTCAGATTTTCGATCTCTTTTTGTGGAGATAGAGTTGCAGTAGATTTAATTCCTAAAAGCAACAGTCCTTTGTGATAAAATAACCCGAACGCGCATATACTTACGGGGTTATATGTACATATATGAAAAAACACTTGTTGAAGAAAAGAACGACTGCTTGTTGTGGCTGGGATTTTTTCGTCTTTTGTATTCATGGCTACATTGTTGTAACATTTATGATCAATAAATGCTTGATATGTAGTTAGTATTTACCATAGATTGATTTCGTTCAAGGTAAAATTGGAAGCCAGGTGGTACTGTAGTGAAGGAGAATACAGGCAAGGACAACCGATTGTACTAAACACAAAATTACAGAGTCACCTGATAAAATAGAAAGACCATACTCCAATAATTCATTTGCAAAATGTTCATTAATTGTCTCAGACTTCATTGTTCCTGCATTTCCATACCAATTGCTTTTTCTTCCCTCCTCGATCTTATAAACCTTCTGCTGCCAGACATTCTATTCCTGACTAGCGTTATATACTACTTATGTCGACATAAGTAACACACACCACGGTACTAGATATCTGTTTTGTCCTTGTATGGGGTTCATCAACACTGTGTACCCACTTCTGCACCAAGTACCGAATTCAGAAGAATTCAGAAGATTAGGGTTTGGCAGAACACAAAGAGTGGATGCACCTTCGCCATTGCAAACGATTTTGAGCCATGTCATTCAAGGTCTCTAACCATCGGTTGTTATCATCTCGCGAATCCCAACCAGGTAGTCTACACCTACCAACATGGACCAGTTCACTTGTCAGTGAATTTATGGATTTGTGCCACGTTTTGGTCTGGCCGCCCCTAGCAATCAAGTCAGTTATCTGTCAGAATGTTTCTATCGAATCGACCAGCGACCTACATATCCAAGGAAAGTTCTAAGACAGTTTTTAAAATTTGTAAGCATATTAAAGTTGTACAGTTGTTTGCCTAAAGTATTTTGTATTTATTCTGTACGCATTTTCTCCGAAGATCATCTCTCTTGTCTAAATTTATCAAGCTTACTTTTTTGTAAACATTTAGACAAATATATTGACTTCAATTTTCTGCCTAAATTATTTTCGCTAGAACTGAAGCTATTTGATTTATCATAATTTCCTAAACATCTTGGTTTTTATTTTTAAGATTATTTTCGTTTGTAAATTGTTAATGGAAAATTTGTACTGAAAATTTTTCAGACGAGGTTTTGTGGAGATTTCAGTAATTTTATAGTTGAAATCATGAGTCAATTGAAGCTAGGCCTACATGGAAAACCTGGAAGCAATGTACGGCCGTTTCGTCCTATTGTGGGACTCCTCGGCAGTGCGCATCCACGATCCCGCCTCGCGAGATTCGAACACAAGACCTATCAGTCTCGCGCGCGAGCGCTTAATCACTAAACCACTGAGCCGGCATTCAACGGTGTTAATGTTCGAATTTCGCGAGGCGGGATCGTGGATGCGCGCTGCTGAGGAGTCCCACAATAGAACGAAGCGGCCGTACAGTGCTTCCAGGTTATCCATGTCGTTCTAACTTCAATCGAATCATAATTTCAACTACAAAAAAATTTCGTTTCAAGCAAGTGGTTATAATCTACTGTCAAGAGACCTGAATGTTCTGGGTTAAATTCACTTACTGGGGTTGTAGATGCGCACCGCTGAGAAGTCTCATACTAGAATCGTAGATGCAGACTACCTGGTTGGGGTCCGCGTGACTATCGTAACCAATAGTTGGAGACTCTAGGTGACATGGCTCAGAATCGATCACAATGGCGTAGGTGTATACACTCTTTATCTTCCCTTAAACCTTAAGATTAAAATTGCTTCATATCTGTCTTCCTTCCTATACTATATCCTTATATACAACCTATCTTTTATATGCTACCACCACTAAATTAACTATTTCTATGAATCCGGTGTTCATCTTGTGCTAACGAGGTATGGCAACTTGGACCGATGCATATGTATGCCTGGTCCTACGTTGTAGCTGACTGACTGACTGAGAATCAGACAACTGTTCAATATTTTCTGCTTTTCAGTGGTTATTTAGTTAAGGTCAGTCAGTAGAAACTGTTTCTTTTGTTGTCTAGTTTGTTGGAGTGGTGTCTCAGTCGTTAAGAGATTCAACTTTCAGCCATCAATTAGTGGATATGAACCCCGTTCAACCTAATTCAGTTTGGTTAACCAGGTAGTGCTACATGAACTCACATTTTAATAGGGCTTGATGCCAAGTATTTGAGTTAATGGGCTTTATGTAGTATTATCTGTTGCATAGTTCTTTCTTACGCAATAATATTTATTGAAATTTGTTGTGTGTTTTACTTATATTGTGTCAATACAGACAGATTACTTAAGAATGGTGATTACACAGGATGATGTTGGAGTTGAATTATGTGGCGGTATTAAACATGTTGTTGCAATCGCTGCAGGTATCTGTGATGGTTTAAAGCTAGGAGATAATACAAAGTCTGCTGTACTTCGTATTGGATTCTGGGAAATGTCTGAACTTATGAAAGAGCTATTCCCCGATAGAGGTTTGTTTTCTTGTAGCTTACTGATAGTTAACTATGATAATTGATTTTAAACTTCATGTTCGTCTTATAAGCAAAGATGGATGATGGCTAGCAATGGGGTCCAGAACGCGTGTTTCGTCCGCTGCTAGCCACCATCCATCTTTGCTTGTAAAGCTTGTGACTTAAGGCAATATCGAGGCAGTCCACACAGGATGCACGTATACCAACAAGTGACTGATCAATGACAGTCCTTAACAACAATGGTAAGATACAAGCAAATAATACCAAGTGAATTTATGTTCGTCTGGTGAATAGCATTTGATATTATTACTTCATTTAGAATGTTCCATGTTTGTTAACATCTCAATCGACCTCATCGCATGATTTTTAAGATCTCAGCTAGGGAGTCTTGATACAGCTAATAGTTATAATTATAACACGATTTCTTTTTATTCCTTATCGCCACATCACAAATGCATCGTTTCTTCGCTTTATGTAGCGATTTCTAATAGTAATGTATTTTAACCGTCTTAGTTCTCACTTGAACATAACATACGTTCAAACCATCAAAATGGATTTTTTCGGATGATTTGATTTGCACTCAAAAATAATTTCCACCACTTTCATATACCACTAGCTCGTATAGTTTGTTTTAATTGAATTTGTTAAATCTTATTTCGACTTCAGTAACCAGAAGAGATGACCACCAGTTAGTGAATGTCATGCGTTTTGCAACACGCTGAGTTGTGGTTATTAGGAGTAACTGTAAACTCCTTGTTCTCAGTTTTACAATTTGAAATCCTAATTTGTATGTGACATTCTATTGTCGGACTAGAATTCATATTCTTCACAATTAACTTTAAATTTATTTTATTTTTTACCTTCTTATTCTGTTATTATGCTTAATGTTTCCCAAGGCCAGTTAGAATCTATTTATACCGATGTATTATACAGTAATATTATAGTAATAATATGAGTTTTGTGGCAAAATATCAGTCTTCCAGTCTGTTTATTGTGGATTTGTATTAGCTAGTATTGCTGCCTGATTGTCTCCTTGTTTAACTAGGCTCGTATAGATCGTTGAGTTAATGTTCAGTCTCTGACTTTTTGGCCATCTAGAAAGTTACATATGATGTGTTAAATACTATTCTTTTTATTTTACATAGATTAAAACTTTTTCTGAGGTTCATAACATTGCTACAAATTCTCAGTCATTTCCTAGCCAATATGAGAACGGCTCTTACAGGTGGTTAGTTTGCGGAAAAAACCCATAATATTACGAAGTGTAAGCAGATTTACATAATGAGTTGTTTAACGTCTTGCATCGGTAACTCTGCTTGATAATTAAAAGAACGACATAAGGTCGTCTTCACGTATGCATAGATTATTCGTCTTCTGAGAAATAGATCTTTAAGAATCCTCACATTGTTCTTAGGGTTAGAGTTTCCGTCGCAAACTGACATCAGGTAGGATGCGTAAGTGGCATGCAGCCATATGGATAATTGGATTTTGCGCGAAATTTCCGACTGACGTTATCTTATCAGTTCGTCCATAAAATATAGTACTAAGTAAAGGTTTCGTTTGTTAAGGGTTTGGGAATAGCGTTAATTTGTCTTTTATAAACATTCTACAAAGACAGAATTTAACATTTGATATATTTAGCACTATCAGTTTTACTCAATGATGGCAAAAACAATTTTCCATTATCATGTGAAACGTTTTAATCAGTATACAAAGGTATTTTTGATGCTTGTTATACATGATATTTTAATTTCACACAATAACCTAAAAATCGTATACTCAATTTTGGCCTTTTCGTCCTTATACATTAGTTTTAATTATAATACCTGGTAATCTACTGAAGCTGTCGATCGTATGATTGCTGGCTTTTCTAAAAAAATCTTTAATTTCCTGTCTCTGAAACGATTAATGACTAAAATGTAAATTCATTGGCTCAAGATTACAAGGACAAGGATTATTGATCATTTTGTTAGTACTATTATTCTTCGTTTTATATATTGCTAAAAGTACGTGTTTATTACTAAGTTAGATCTATGTAAGCAGAAGATGAGGAATCGGAAGTAGAGATTTCACTTACCGTTATGACCACTAGAGTACATGACACTAAAGTCAAAATGTTGATTGCTTAAGTATCATTCGATGACTCGTACTCCTCCCCATATGTATATGCACGCAATCCTATTATCAGCTTTTGTTTTGTTTTGCTGTGCCCTTATTAAATTTGACTATAAATTGCCTATGTAATTGCTCGCGCTCGCTGCTTGCTGATATTCGCTCATGTGCTTGTAAATTTCTGGTCTGCGTCATTTGACAATAAACTGTAGTCGCCGTTTCTCTTTGCCTTCTGATTTTACTCACCGTTAAGATTGGTATTAAAACGGTTATCAAGGTGAATGATTAACGGAGCACGGCACTACAATATTTAGATATTTTAAGAAATTTCATATAGGGAGAAATTGATTTTAGAAAAACCGATTGTGGATTCTATAAATAAAATGGGTATGTTCAAAGGGAATACGTAAAAACAGTAAGAAATGTTGTGCTAGACAAAAGTGTTTGTTTCATTGAGAAATAGTGAAACACAAACAACCTAAATAATAATCACTTGAAAAAACTTTTACGTGACTTCAGTTATTTAGTGTAATCTCAGAGTTCATGTTCACTCTGGGAGCATCAATGGTAAGATTCAAACAAACAGTACTAAGTGAATTCAAACTTCACCCCATTGCACAAGCAAGTGGCTATCAGGACTCAGTAGGTGAGTGGATAACGCGATGACGTTTGAAGCGAAAGGTACTGGGTTTGAGTTCCAGAGTGAACATCAACTCTGACATGCAGATACATCCAGCTGACGAGTCTCAAATAGGACGAAACGCGCGTCCTGGATCCCACTGCTAGCCACTATCCATCTTTACTTAATGTATGGTTTTCACATTTTGCAAAAGAACTCTGTAATTTTGCGTTAAATAAATTGATTATCCCAAACCTAGTTTCATTGATTACACACTTGATTCTCAACCAGCGAGTCTCAAATATATAGACCCTGTTTCATTTGAAAATGTTTAGGGATCAGAGTAAAATATTTTTGGAAATCTCAATAAATGTGGCTTACCATTTAGTGTATGAATCAGCAAAGTTCACTGAAATATATCATTTTTCAAGTTAGGTGCGTCAAACTAAGAAGTGGAATCAGTCCGTGGAGTGATTGACCACTGAACTAAGCTGTGTTGACAGGTGCAGACTACCTGTCTGTTTTTCGTGCAGTGACTGCGATCAGTAGTTGGAGGTGTTGAGTGGAAGGCGTCATAATCGGTCGCAATAACAGATGGATTCACCAATCGTCTTCCCTTAGATCTTAAATTTTAAAACGATCTCATATTACCAGTTCATTCTGTCTTCTCGAATCATGCTGTCCATGTCCAATGTTTTCTACTATCACTAATTCTGTTACCCGTCTTATTACTCTGACATTTTTCTTGGTATTTTCATCCGATTGTCCTGATATAGTGTAGCAGCTTGAACCGATGCATATAATTGTCACGTTCTATATTGTTTATGACGAACCGACATTATTTTTCTTAGTATTTAGTCAGACATGTATGTATCCAATTTACTTTATATTCGGCTTTAAGCTATACCATTTGTATGAAGGTTGATAATACTAGCTAATTTCTTAAAATGAGGTAGGTAAAACGGATTTCGAATCTATGACCTACTATGTTAAATAAAATTTGAATGTATTAAACCACTAAACTAAAATTAGATATACAGACTTATCGTATTAATAACTGTACAGTATAAAGACAAGTTTTCACTATTTTCATCATGATCATCTAAAATGTTTTAAGTCCTTTTATGTTGTGCTCATTCTAACTTTTTAGGTACTGATTGGTTAACAATAGAACAAAGTTGTGGAATGGCTGAATTATTTATATGTAAGCTAATTACTGTAATTTAATTACTGACTGTTTTCTCGTTTTCAAATATTTTTACTTGTTTTCAAAATCTTTAACGATAAAATGATAGTTGCATTTAAGTGTTTGTTTAACATGACAATATTTCTGAACAAAAGCCAATTATTTTATCAAAATTATGTAGTAATAGTAATGTTGGTATAAAATAGGTGGTTTAATTACGGAGCTTTCATTGTCATCCTGGACAACATTGGTGCCTAGTTCATGTAGAACTGACCTTTCTAGCTATTCCACAAGGTGTTATTTGGGTTCATTCCGGTGACATTGTTCGTGCTTAGTCGTCTTTATTTGCCTTCAGACTCACGTTGATCGTCTTTTATTAGTTGATTTTTGGTTTTGTGACCGACATTGTTCTCATCCGTATGGGTTCATAATTTTGGTCAATGTCAATGTGTCTGTTGATTTTTAATTGGTCTGAATGCCATGCTTCGAGAAATTCTCTGGTATTTTTATAGTCTACCTGTACCAAAGGCATTCACTTGAGTTACAAATTTTCTCCATCATTTCAGTTTATAATGTGTTTAGATATTAACTTTGATTGTCGTTGAAATATCGGCGCTAAAATTCTTTTGCGTTTGTTATAACTGAGGAATAACTGATACTTGGAACCGGAAACTACGATTTACTACATGACACAAGGAAGAAGACAAGGGTGCAAATGAAAATTGGTTATGCACCACAAATAAATCAAAAGACCTGTCTCTGAAATACACAGTTATGTATTAGATCCACTTATCTGGTCAATATTCAAATTTACACACATTAAATTAGACAGTAATTGATGTAAATTAATCAGTATGGGGCTTGTGGATATTATAATATTCTTACTATTGAAACCACGAGTCGATCTATGCTAGACCACTATCGAAAACCTGGAAGCACTGGACAACCATTTCGTCTTAATCTGGGACTCCTCGGCAGTACGCATCCACGACCTCGTACACAGGACTCAAAACCAGGACCTTCGGTTTCGTGCGCGAATGCCTAAACTCTAGACCACTGAGCCGTCATCCAACAGTAATAATGCCTAATTTCAACAGTTCCATGACCTTGCACAACCCTTCATTACTTGAGGTGGATATCTGTCTCATACTTGGGATCGTGGATGCTTGCTGCTCAGGTGTCCCATACTAGAACAGAATGGTCGTCTAGTGCTTTCAGGTTTTCAATGTTGGTCCAGCGTAGGTCAACCCGTGGTTTCAACTGTATAAATCAATCATTTAACTTAATATACGTATACAATTTACAGTATAAATAGATTAAATTACTTAAATTAACAAATATAACTAAATTACTAAGTTACATATTTACGTCTTCCTGAAAGCTTTATGCCTTGATCTTAGTTTCTGAGTAAGATTACATATTATCTTAGATACACAGACCAATAATCCCACTCCTATCACCGCAGCTGAAAACGATCATAGTTGTCTAAACTGATTCTGTGATTCATTGGTCAGTTTCATTTGGCTATGATACTAAGAAGATTTGTGTTTAATCCTAGCAACGAGAGTCTCTTATTTCAAGCTAATTGTCTGAATTCATATATTTAGAAGAAGAAAAGCTGTATCAAACGAGTAAGGCACAGAGTTTCAGTAGATGGGAAATTTATAATCACCTGAAAAACGATTAAATATAGAGGGTAATAAAAATGAAAGCATATTAGATTCAAGTCTATTATTATGTAATTTGGTCAGTCTTTCCAGTTTACAGTCGATAATATAAAATCTTCAAAACCTTTCAACTGAGTTGTGTTAAATGATGAGTTTTAAGTGTTTTTTCCACAATTTAACCCATGTAATAGGTACATGTTAATGTGTTCGATTTTGAACTACAATTTTTTAAAGTGTCAAAAGCTAGTGCAATGGTATTTAAAATTACGACCCATTGTTTGGAAATTGGTCACCCCAACTAGTAAACCACCGCATATATTATTATTATTATTATTATTATTATTATTATTATTATTATTATTATTACATTGAAAGTGTTTAATTTAGGTAAATGATATAACCACACTTTTTAGTAGTAAGCTTAAACTGTGTGAAGCCCTTCTAGGATTACTGTCGGTATCAAACCCCGGGTAAAGGAGTAGGGTTAGACCTAAAATTACCAACCCCATAGCGTCGAAGGAACCTTTTTACGCATGTTACCCCTCGTTAAGGAGCATACACCATCTAGAAGCATTCCCTATCGAACTCTGTCCTAGACAATCCTTCACAGTTGCTAGTCATCCTTTTGATATCTGCTTCTAACTTCCGGCACAGTGTGTTCTTTGATCTTCCTCTTATCCATTTCCCTTCAGGATTCCAAGTTAGCACTGGTCTCGTGATTCAGTTTGATGATTTCTGAAACGCATTTCCTATCCACTCCCAGCATCTTTTCTTAATTTCCTATCAGGTAGAAGCTGGTTCTTTCTCTCCCATGGTAGGATGTTGCGGATGATAAGTAAGGCGTTTCCCTCAGACAACCAGTATAACAGCGATACTGACTTCGCACAAGGAAGGATGGGGTTAGAAAAGGTCGACCCTAAAAATGCACACCTCACCTTATCCTACGGATATCCGTCTTCGGCAGTAAAGTCTAGACAAGTACGGAACTAACACGAAAACTACTCTCGAAAAGGTCGAGTGTGACCGAGCTCAAGCAGTTGTCCCTTGGACACTGCGGTCACGCTCACAGGTCACTAAGACCACTTCTAATCCAATTTCTTTTTCAGGCACCTCTAGAAGAACTCTTCCACGGTGTAGGCAACCGGAAAGTGATAACTGCCCTCATACCTCTAACAGCACTCAAGATCACTGTACTCAATCAATCTCCTTTTTCAATAACTATTATTCTCCCACCTCGACTTTCAACACTGAACTTCCTCTTTAGACTTCCTACTCAAGTGTCAACATGCACCAACGATTCTGGTGCGCAAAACACCGTCCCAGATCTACTAAAATCTCGCTCCAAACTACACGTTGTAGCCTTCAACGTACGTACCCTAAGTCAAATCGGTCAACATGCCTCCTTGGCTAAGACCCTAGAAGCTTGTACCATTGATGTATGCTGTGTCGAAACACGCATAAAGGATCCTAGTGTGACCATTCACTTGACCTCATTTCGCCAGAACGGAGAGCCGACGAGATACACCCTCGGTGTACCTGGCGACCCGCTGACCAGTTCTTGTGGACTGGCGGTTTTAAGCATAGCACTAAGCACGAAGGCAGAGCAAGCACTATTAGAATGGGTCCCTGTTAACAGTCTCCTATGTGCTGTTCGGCTAAACGGCTTCGTAAAATCTCGGAAGGATAGAGATACACGTCGTTGCCTTTTCGTCGTTTCTGCTTACGCTCCCACTGACTGCAGCCCGGATGGAGTGAAGGATGAATTTTACAGAAAGCTCTCTGTACTTCTTTATAAAGGTAAACGCTCGGACATAGTGCTCGTAGCAGGTGACTTTAATGCCCAAATAGGTAGTCTAAATCCAACAGAAAGACATTTAGGCGGGTATTTTAGTATTCCGACTGGGCGAACAGATAATGGTGATCGTCTGCTGCAACTGTGCTCAGACAATCGTTTATTTTTAGCAAGCACAGACTTTAAGCATTAGGAGAGAGATCACCTGACATGGCAATTCATCGTTACCTCAGATTGAACTGATAACTTATTGACATACGTCCTCCGATGCTTCGAAACATGAACGGATAAGTTTACTGGACAGATGTTGATTAAAAGCATAGATTGAGTGGTAGTTGTTAGTGAACTTCTCTAGCAGATCTTTAGATCTACAGAAACATACCCTTCTGTGCACAGTTTTAATAGAAGTGACGTTTAGCTCACCATTTTCCTCACGGACCCAAGATCCAGATTGACAGTGACAATATTTCGACCCGAAGGATAAATTCTTTTGAAATAAAGAATACGTAGATAACCGACGTCGTCTTCTTTGTCTGGGTTGTGTAGGTGAGCTAGGTGTGTTTTATTCAAGAGAATGATGATTACTTCCATCATCTACATCCTGAAGACAAGCATCTGATTCTGACGAACTGCGTTTACTGCGTCCATATGTACAGATATAACTGACGAAGAAATACTTTAGAGTTTGATCATCATTGTTCTTTCTACATACCGACATGACATAGTGTGAGTATACTGTGAGAGTAATTATCAACCACAGAAGATCTATTACCTTATGTACCTCTCTCAAATAGGTCTCAAAATTGTCCCAACTTGTAAGTCGTCGTGATAGCATAATATCATTTAAGTTTTGTCCTATACCATGCATCATTACGTTGGCACCACTTTCGTTACTTGAAGGGTGGACGTTATCAGACATAGTGTGGCTAAACTCAATTTAAATCTAAAAATGTCTCGATTTGACCGTTACTGATAAACCTTACGAACTGTCGAGGTGACGCATCAATCGTTTTGCGACATTTTGACCTTCAAGTGCTCAGCAACCTCCATCGAAGGACGTTACCTCTAAAGTGTTACCCTACGTGTGTGACTGGGTGTAATTCAAAATTATTTTATTCCTCCCTTTTTAAGTACATGCACTTATTGTTGATTTCATACTTTGTGTTTGTTTATAGTTTTTCGATTCTCATTTGTGTTTTATCTCTGATTATTGCTAATTGGTAAACATCCGATCTCCTAACTATGGGGAAATTTTATGGAAATCTTGGGGAAATGAGAGTAGAAATTCAAGAATTTTTCCTGGTCTGTTTGTTTAAGCCTCAGCGTTATTTAAAAATTGGGTGTTTACTAATATTTCCCCATACATTCTTACACACTAGGGTAAAGCAAGCAATACCTACTGACTAGGGAGAAACTACAAAACTAACATATGACTTTCGTGAAAACAAGCTTGTTAGTGTGTTTTTCACGTGAAAGTCGAAATTCCCCTAACGGTGTTTTACAAATAGAAAAAAGTTAGTCTTCAACGTAATAAACGTAATATCAAGTTTCCATGCTAA